TTTACATTTACTAATCCATCTGACGTCCTGTTTACATTTACTAATCCAACTGAAGTCCTGTTTACATTTACTAATCCAACTGAAGTCCTGTTTACATTTACTAATCCGTCTGACGTCCTGTTTACATTTACTAATCCGTCTGACGTCCTGTTTACATTTACTAATCCATCTGACGTCCTGTTTACATTTACTAATCCAACTGTAGTTCTGTTTACATTTACTAATCCAACTGAAGTCCTGTTTACATTTACTAATCCAACTGAAGTTCTGTTTACATTTACTAATTCAAGTTTGATAGACCATGACGAAATTTTAGATTTTGACAGATAAGCTTGATTTTCCATCTCGTAACTTATGTATATTTTAAGGTTCGAACAGGACGTTTTACTTTTTTTTGATAAGCTTGATTTTCCATCTCGTAACTTATGTATATTTTAAGGTTCGAACAGGACGTTTTACTTTTTTTTGATAAGCTTGATTTTCCATCTCGTAACTTATGTATATTTTAAGGTTCGAACAAGACGTTTTACTTTTTTTTTGTAAACCTACTGTTTAAAGAAAGTATGTTATTCTAGAAATAATTACCTTTGTTCATGTGACCAGCTACCCCTACCATCACTGTATGTTAGACCAAAGTATAGGAATAACTACCTAAGGTGTAAAAACCATCCTACAAGTACGTATCCATCATTCCTCTCACCTCATTTATATAACCAAATGACCTCACCAACAGTACATGTTACATAAAACATATATATTTGTGTGTTTAGATATAAATATATGTATATAATTCGTAAATTATGATTTTTGGCTGTTTAATATTGTGTAAAATACTTCATAAATATATATATATATATCAATGTTTGATCTTGTCGTAGCGTTGAGTGATTTACTGAGCAAGAGAGAGAGAGAGAGAATAAAATTTTAAGTTAGGAAAACACGACACCCAATGATCTGTTTGTTAAGGGTGGATGGTATTTCATATATGATGCAAAACAGCAAGGTCATCCTTAATTTATAACTGTAGGACAGGGGAAGGCAATCACTGAGCCAACCTTACAGAATGGTTTCCCCTTTACTGACCCTGAACCGTTTGGTGTAGGTCAGTAGTTAGGTATGAAAAAAACAATTCTAGTGACACAGAAGATAATCAGTGTCTGGTTAATTAGACTCTGGTGTTTTAAAGGATTGATTTCGGAGGAGGGACTTCATCAGCTGTTGAATTCTAGGTTGATCTTGTAGTGACAGACATCAATAATGAGTGTTAATAAAGGTATATATTAATTTTTACAAGTCGTTTTCACATTATTGTCCTGTTACACAAAACTACCATGATAAGGAATTTCAGTTACAGCAAAGTTTAAAGAAATCAAAAGTTGAATACTGACCACCAGAATAATTCTGAATTTCCAAAAACGGTTCCTAGTCTCTTTCAGTACAATGAGCAGAAATGACCCTTTCTGTTTTCTGCCCGAGTGCTACATTTTACCCTGTTGTGATGTGCCTAAAATGTAACATATTTAATATTTTTGTTCGAGTCTGGCAATCGTGATTTAGATCTTTATATTTCGGGTGGAGTGAATCACTGAAGTTTTTGTCCGAATAAATTACAACAATCTTCGTTTTCTGTTTGTCTCCCCACCTGTGGTTCAGTGGTAAATCTCGTACCATTTGGCAAATATATGAAAACTCAAAGTGTGGCATCCATACTCACTGCGAGTTGTGTCTAAGTCAGTCAGACGTTTGTATGAATGTCGATTACTAGGCATCCATACTCACTGCGAGTTGTGTCTAAGTCAGTAAGACGGTTTTTATGAATGTCGATTACTAGGCATCCATACTCACTGCGAGTTGTGTCTAAGTCAGTCAGACGTTTGTATGAATGTCGATTACTAGGCATCCATACTCACTGCGAGTTGTGTCTAAGTCAGTCAGACGGTTTTTATGAATGTCGATTACTAGGCATCCATACTCACTGCGAGTTGTGTCTAAGTCAGTCAGACGGTTTTTATGAATGTCGATTACTAACTGACGGTCTGCAAGCACAATATTTACCACGAAATATAACAATTTACAAACTGAAAAGGACAACCAAATTTAAAATCCAAAAATGGGCCCGGTATGTAAAACAATTGACTTATGTAATAAAATTTTCCAAGTCATGAGTTGTCAGTTGGTAAATGGTATTTGAATTTTTAATCTACAAACGTTCACACTAATCATTGGGCCATGCTTGGACCTAAGATGGATAACAGTGTAACTTTAACATCAACAAATTGAATTTAAGAGTTTAAAACATCGAGATGTAACTTTAATGAATTTTTCAAGTACTAGTCTACACGTTGGTCTAAAATATCAGCCAAACTGTGCATAACGTAGTCCCAAAAAAACAACAACAACTGATTCAACAGTTTATATTACTAACCTCAGAGCTAGTGATGGGGGTCATTAGGCAACATTGGCTAAAAAAAAAAATATTAAACTAATTCATACACTAAATTTTTACAGGTCCATGTTTGTGCTAGTTATTGGTCACACAAATAGTATGCCTTCACAAACAGATACAATATTAACGGTATCCATAAATGAAATATAAAAATACTTAAGCCAATAGCCCCAACCCCCAGTACGTCAGTGGACAACACTAAAAATCAGATTTTGATACTCGTGGTGGACAGAGCATATATATTTACTTACACCATTTTATGAGTATATGATGTTCTTCATATATTGTAATAAATATAAATCAAATATCTCCATATTTGATCGATTATAAATTAGGAAAATGTAGCCTGAACTTGTTATTTTGAGGAAATTTAGATCAAAGAAATCTGTGAAAACAAGCTATATGAAGTATAGTAAAATAATTTCTTTTAGAGCTATTACTGATTTACACCAATAGATGGCAGTACTGCATGGATATGTTATATTATCATTCGGCAATGATCCAGTGTAGAGACGGAGCCTATCTGTTTCCCATTGATCTCGCGTGACATGCATGTAGCCAATTAGAAGTCCCACATTGATAGGAATGTTTTTCAACAATTGGTCAAGATAATATTTAGGAACACATACAAGCCAATCATGGAAACATGAAACTAGTAACAGTAAAAATTGATTGCTGCTAATAAACACCAGAGACAGATAGATTGCTAATCGTCAAATTTATTAGTACTCTTCAGAGAATTGTTCAGTAATATTTAGTGTTCTTGGTTTTTTTTTTATTATCTGAAGTATAAATTATGAGAATATTTTTATAATTTTGGGTTGTTTTGTAGATTTATCTTTTTTGTTTGAATTGTTCTTTATGATAGATATACCATACGTGAATATTTAAACAGTAAATCTACAATTTATAGTTTTGGAACTAAATTTTTAATCGAAATTTCATTATCCAAATATACTAAAAAGTAAATGAAGTAAAAATAAAAACTCGACTTATTTTCTGATGTTTAGGTGTCCAATATTTTGAGATGGACATTCTAATATATATTCAAGAACTTTTGCGTAAAATACATCACTCGTGAAAGGTATTGACCACTAAGCCATCATGCAACACAGTTTGTTACGTTACCGGAACGAAAATAAAGGGTTCCTTCATAGTTCTTTTTAGCAGTGTTCATGCATGCCACTCATAAAGTTAACAGTTCTCATGCATTAAAAATTACCAATTGTTTATATTATATATATACACTTAGGTATGTAACAATGCCAACTTTGTCTGCTTAGTGAGATCACTGCCATTTGTGATATTGGTTTCATTTTACGGGAACGCTATCACCCCTACAACTGAGTTTTAATTGGAAATGTCCCATTCTTCAGGTTGTCAGATATATGAGAATTCTTAGTGTAGGTAGTATTATTAATTTATTTATTTTGTGTTTGTAATTCGTTGATGTCGAGGCTATGGAAATTTCTAGAAAGCCTCAGTGATGACATATAAATAGCAGCGATCAGATGAATAAAAGTGAAAGAGAAGTTCGGTCAGAGAAGAGTTAAAAAACGTTAAATTTAACTGTCATGGAAGTAAACGACTTAACCGTTGATATGTTAGAGTAAGATTAACATTTTTGAAAAAGATAAGGAGAATAATTTATATTGTCAAAGGGTGTTCTAAACTAATTGAACCACCCGGTGTGGACTTTGACAAAAAGCAGACAATTATTGGAAGTACGGGATACAACTGCGGTAACTCACGCGACAATGTAAGTGAATTATACACGGACACTAATGAGTTATACACTACACCCTAATCCTGCCTAAAAGAATTTCAAGTGTCGCAGCTTTTGAGGATTCCCTCTTGTTTTAATATTCTTTATATTGCGTAATGAAAACTAACATCAATCAAAATTGTTTGTGAGATTGAACTATGTAACTTTGTAAAAAAATATCAGAATAAATAACATAGCCATGTGTTTTCTAACATATATGTAATATTGTAAACTCGGATAAAATGAAGGAAGGACTGGGAAATTTCATTTTGTTTTAGCCATGTTTCCTACTCGTGTAACAAGTACAAACTGTCGAAATAGAACATATTTTTGCTTGCAGACAGTGTACACAGTTGGGGACAAGTGACCACTGTGTTGCCTGGGTTACTGTTTTATTAATCAATAGCAAGCATTGTCCATCCTCTTAACTAACACTGAATGTTACATGAATTACCTTCACAAGTAGTAGAGCGAAAATAAATTGGGAGATAAAACAACAACGAGCTATCTCTAAAAATAAAGCAATTATTATATTGATGCAAAACCATACATAATATGATTGTATAATATTTAATAAGAAAGAGTAGTTGGCCTAACTTTCATCTAAATATCCTTCTTTAGAATGTTGAAGAAAGCATCTATGGTGGAGGTGAATAGCTAGAAGGTAAAGGGATAGCCAATTGTCAGAAAACAGGAAGCAAAGAGTAGTACAATAGCACGAGTATAGTTAAAAGGTAGTCTCAACAAAGTGGCAGGGGAAACTGATTATATAAAAAAATGAATAATAAAAAAGGAACCTGGACAAAGAAAACTAACTGTCATATTCTGAATTACTTTTCACAAACTGAGATTTGACTAACACTCACTCTGAACAAATTCATAAAAGGTTATAACAATGAAAGAATTAGCATTTTGTAGTCCTTGTATGCTATAATGTTTGATAGCTTTTATTCCATAGGTATTCTATCAATGCACGATCAGGCCCGTCGACAGGAGGGGGGGGGGACTGCCCAGGGGCCAGGGCGAATGAAACCCGGTTATGCCGTAAAGCCCGCAAAGCATCTTTAGGCTATATCTTCATTTAATGATAAAAACCATAGTTTTTGGCTTTTCTTTGCATATTGACGCTTGATACATTAAGAACGACTGAAATAATAATTTGAGTAATAATTAATATTGTTGCGTCAGCGAGTCACATGACCACGTGACG